TCCATATACTTTGTCTTAATCCAACTAATTTTAAAATATTTAGATTGGCCACAATTAAGAAAATCAAATGCTATAATAGTTTAACTAAATAAATATTTCTCGAACAAATAATTAAACAATTGAAATGGCTCATTTCTTTTGTTTGTTTTAACATATCCACTAGTTACACAAGTATATAAAATCACATATTTGGATGGCATGTGATTAGGAATTCACTTATTCCTTAATAAGGTTATCAAGCAAAAGTAAATCACTGCTTTCTTTCATAATAAAGTTCATAGTGAATATTTCTAAACTTCCGAGCCATAGCGGTGAACTCTAAATTTTTCACAAGTGTAACCAGTAAAAATAGATAGGCTATTTCACATCTATTTAATGAATCCCTTTGACAAAGTAAAACCCAACTCTAGATTACTTTGTCGAAAATAAACCTGAAATCCCTCATTAGACTATAAATATACAAACCAATAAGAACCCAATTGAAAATCAATACCTCTTAACAAATTCCCAATAAGCTGAAGACACATCAAATATGTACAGGATCATCGCTCTCTCTTTTCTTTTTAACAATATTCAAAACTTTTATTAGTAAAGAGAAATGATTACAGCAAGGAATTTACATCCTCTGAGAGTAATACTAAAAAAGAAGTAGCACCCCTCTTAGCCAAAATATCCACCAGCACATTAGATTCCCTATAAATATGACGAAAAGAAGGGCAAGCTTTCTATACTTCCCCTACAACATAAAACTTACATAGTTCCCCTTATCCAACCGTCCATTCTAAATGGAGGCCTAAGATTGCTTCAATCATAATGTCATGTCTCTACACTATTTTATTTTTAATTTTTTATATAAAATATTTTCACACTAAAGTTTGGGCATATAATCCTCTATTAAACTCGCACTTGTAAAAGATATAAAAAAAATATTCCCAATCAAATAAAATAACCAAAATACATTAGAAAGTTTTAAGGGGTATTTTGGACAGTTGGTTAGTAGGGGAAGCATAGATCTTCTATATTATAGGGGAAATATAGAAACCTTTCCCCAAAAAGAAATCCTTAAAGAAGCCGTCAGATCTTCAATCTGAAGCCAATAAGATCATAATTGCCATGACACACGTTGCTCTTTATTGAACCACTTGATGACATTCAAAGAATCACCCTCCACCATGCAAATATGTCCTACAAGCTTCTCCTTAAAAAGCTTAAATCCTTGTAAAAGGGAAGCTAATTCAGCATGATTGGCTGTAGTAATCCCACACGGATCAATATAACAAAAATAACATTATTATTCCAGTCTCTAACTACCCCTCGAGATAACGCCCAAGCCAGCAAGTTTTGGGTTACCAAATAAACTCTCATCAAAATTGAGCTTATAGCAACCTTGTAAAAGAGGTTCCCATCTAACCTTTGGGCGACATTTCACCATCCCCATTTTGAACAAACTAGAAAGATTCAATATAACTTCAATCTTTGTAGTTCCCCATCTCCTTCCTAACCTACCGCCTACACCATAAAATATCAACGTCATTCAAAAGTCCCTCCAAAAGCAATGATTTACTTTCAAAGGTCCGACGATTTCTCTCCTTCCAAACAGCCATAGAATAGCTCCCGTAAGGATTTTCCGTATCATCTGACCCTACACACTTGATCCTACCTTAGCCGATGAAATTTCCTCTCTCCCCCAAAAGAACTTTAAAGAAAACTTCACATGCTCATAATAACAACATTGAGCATCTATAAAAGTGAGATTTAGTAAATTCGAAGATTTGCAAAATAAGACTTGAGTAACATGACTCTACTCCCCAAGAAAAGATATTTAGGTTTTCAAAGATCTAGCTTAATGTTTATGCATCATCATCATCATCGTAGCCTTTTTCCAATTAATTGGATTGGTTATAAAAAAAAACTTCACACATAAATAAAAAATCGAAAAAAAAATAATACAAAGCAAGAATTTACTCAAAATAGTACTATTTTGTGGAAAACATTCAGCGATGGCACTGAAAAAAAGTGTTATCTAAAAAAATGTCATTCGAATGAGAATAATTCACCATAAAAATCATTAAAAATAATAAGACAATTATTATAAGCAAAACAAAAACACAAATATTTTACATATTTCCTTCTTGAGATTAAATTAATGATAATTTTTGGATTCAACATGTTACTGCAATTTATTTATATATTTAAAGGAAAATGGTTTGATGGGGTTGCAGCCCTGTCAAAATAAATAAAGCCTCACCTAAACACTCGCCCAAAGTTGCAGTTCTTGCATGACATCAAATTGGTCAGTATGGTAACGAAACAATTTAGGATTTTGTGCCCTAAAATATTGTATATTGTATATATTATCTAGACTGTCTATTTTGCCCTAAACAAATATATTCACAAATCCGCAAGATTTATATTATTTTTTTAGCTTCAAATTTCATAGTCGGTATTGAGAATTGATTTTAGAGCCATAATAAAGAATGCCCAGAGCGTTTTTTAAATTAAGATTCTAAGTGAAGCTTTACGTTGTTTTCATAAAGCCTAAGCCTTATAGAAACTGCATCCTAATACAAATGGCCTTCTTGTCTATTGTGAAGCATTATGTTCAAACCGCACTTCTAGCGCTCTAATAATGTATTCTTCCGATTTTTTAGGTTTTTCTTGATTACTATTTTAAACTTTTTGTTTGCCGGATTCCCAATTGGATAGTCGAAATGATATGTAATTGTTGATTCTAGTGATTTAAAGAACATGTCGGTGAAGTGGTGGTGTGGATCGCTATTTTGCTGTGCCGAAAAAATCATGAACCAGTGAAAAAATGGTGAACCAATCGAAAATTAGTTCGGATCGGTGAATCGTCGATCCGGAATCACCGTTTTACTTTACAAAACACCGGTTCCCTTCTAGACTTAGCCGATTTCCTAAATGTATATAGAATCGAAACGTGATGACCATTTCCCAAGTCAGACCGAGCGTTTATGTATCGACCGATCAGAATCCATGTGGGCTATTGGTCCCATTGGTCTTTTCGGAAACATCGGTAAAATAAATAAATTTGAAGTATGTTTAGGATCCTAAAAATTGTGGACGTAACCTCCTCAATCTAAAGGGCAACTTTGTAACGAAAAAATAAAATAAAAATTAAAAAGGTCTTATACATTGAATACAAGCCTAAAAGATAACGTCCTCTTTTCTTATTTTTTTTCCTTTTTTTTTTTTCTTTTTTTTTTTTTTTTTTTTTTGTAACACATGAACTAAAAGTTTACATAAAGGTGAGATCCTAAGCAATCAAGTTAAGGTGCATATAAAAAAATTCATTAGAGGAAGTCATTTCAATGTTGACAAACCCTCGATCCAATCATCTTGGCTCCAAGATGTATGGATATGAGAAAATAAATAAATTTTAATCCTTGAAAATAGTGCATCTTGTAATGTATTATCTAGACCTTCAATTTTCAAGATCTTTCAAGTGTTCAAAAATCTATTTGATCTACACTATTTTGATTTTTAAATTGTATAGTTAGAGAATGAAAATAAATGTTGAGGCCATCACAAATATTTTTGATACTGAAACAACATATTAGGTATATTTAAAGATGCATCTTACTTTGATTGTTTAGGGCGTCAGCCTTATACAGACCATATCCCAAAAACATAATCATAATATTGAACATAGACGGTCTAAGTTTTCAATGGTTAGATCTATTTTTAGGAAATCAAAATCTAATCTTTTTTTTTTTTTAAGTACTCGTCTAGTGATTATAAAGAATAGGAAAAATGTTTCACATGTGCTGGACCGCATGATTACATATGCAGTCCACAAAATATAAAGAATCCATCTTAAAGATGGATACAAGCTGGTGTTCCATCTAAAAACAATGGAAACTAATGGTCCAAATGTTTTCTTACTAGAATTATTATTTCTAGTTTTTAAAATTTATTTATTTATTTTATATTCATGATCTCTATGTTAGAGATTACATGTGCTTAAAAATTAAGACTAAAAATCTATCTCAAAAATAGATTTATTAATAGGCCCGCATTTCTACATATGCGGGCTTGGCCGCATAGAAACCGGGTCCTGAAAAATATCTAGAAATTTAAGATTAAGATAAGGGTCTTGTTTCTATAAGGTTGCAACTTTAAACAATCCAATTAAGGTGTACCTCCAAATTTTATCATAACATGTAATTTTGGAGTAAAACGTTCTTAGGATAATCTGAATTTCTATTTTCGTATTTAATTATAGAATTTTAAACTAAAAAAATAGTTAAAAAATTCTTAGGATTATCTGAATAGCTATTTGTGTATTTAATTATAGAATTTTAAACTCAAAAAATAGTTAAAATCAAGTGGATCTACAAATATATGAAAAAGATGCACTATTTCTATGACTCAAAATCTATTTTTTTTTTCATATTCCTATATGTCGATGTCAAGATGATCAATTATAAGGCTTTTTAACATTAAAACAACCTTCACTTTTTGAGACGCATATGTAATTCTACATTTCACGGTTGCAATCTTACATAAACTTTTTTGTTGAGATAATATCCGTAAGTACATCTTTTACCCAAGAGAATAAGTGCACAATGCCACTCCACGTGTAGACAAACCAAACATCCAAATCTCATTACTAAATAATCATCGAGATGATATAAAGCTTTTGGCAACTGCAGTTCTAAAAGACAAATAAGTCGTCTTCCCAAAGTTACAATAATGTTTGTGAAAGGAAAATGGTTTGATAGGGCTGCAGCGCTATCAAAACAAGTAAATCTTTACATATATAGAAATGAGAGGGCTTATTAATAAATTTATTTTTGAGATAGATTTTTGGATTTTATTTTTGAGATAGATTTTTGGATTTAATTTTTAAAGATATATAATCTCTACCACAGAGATCATGAATATGAAAAAATAAATAAATTTTAAAAATTAAAAATAATAATTCTGTAAAAAAACATTTGGACCATTAATTTCTATTGTTTTGCAATGAAATATGCTTTGGTTTACACTTTTTGGACAGCATATACAGTCTTGCGGTGCAGCCCGCATGAATCAATTTTCTTTCTGAAGGCCTACCGTCAAAAGAAAAACAAGAAGCAGCTACCTCCAAAAAAATATCACTCAAGGTAAGGTGCAGATTCTAGAGAGAAAGCATGTCAAAGGTAAGGTGTAGATTCCGGAAATGAGAGAGAGAGTTGCACTCTCATGGGTAAAGGTATAAAACCTACTTTTGCAACAAACACCGTATCAATGTGTTCCTTTTCTCTTCTTTCAAGTCTCCCTCCAGACTTCTCATCCTTCCTGGACATGGGGAAGAGCAAGAAAGGGGAAAGCATGGAAAAGGAAGTCACGCTGGTTAAGGCTGCAGCATGGGCATGGTACCAGCACGGCTCGGGTGCTGAGGGGCGGCCAGCGAGAGAGTTTGATGTTAATCGGGCCCAGCGGACCCCTAGCTCGTCTCGGTTCAGGCAAGAAGTGATAAAGAGTGCTAGCCTACCTAGCTCCTCAATTCAATATGAAGGGGCAGCTCCTGATCAAAAGGACAAAGAGGCAACAACCACTTTGAGTCCAGAGACAACTGAAAACTCATTGCTTGATTCATATGAGATTGAGAAAATCTCCCAGCACTTCGACCATCTGCTTGAACCACCCCAAGATTCCGACAGAGACTGGCCAAAAAATAGCCGGTATAAAATTCCTCGCCGCGAAAAGGCCAAGAGGCGGGGGCCTTCGATCAAGTTTTGGCAGAAGCATGTGCCTGCGATGTGCAGCAGCTCGAGGGACACTATCGTGGCGGCGACACACGTGCCAAGAACCACCGGAGGCAAGGCTCACACATGTGGGAAGATTGAGGCCATGCCTCATTGATACAATTGGTTTGAATGTTGTGAATGTTATAAATGTGGGGATGGGGATGTATTGATTATGAATGGGAATGCGGGGGAAAAGGTCTGTTTAGAAACAGGCATAATGCTTTCGTATTTATGAGAGGAAAGCGTGGAAGATAGGGGTAGGTTGAGTTGTGTTCAAGGTCCACAGCAAGCAACTACAACACGAGAAAAGGGGTGAAAAATGAAATGTAAAAAAGGAAAAGGGATGTTTGCTCTTATCCTTGTTTGGAAATCAGTTATATGTTTTTTGAGAAAATAAGGTACTTTTAGCACATGATTCTATCATCTTTTGGGAAAATTGGCTATGTATTTTTTTTTTTTTGGGTACTTGTGTCGAGAAGAGAGGCTCGTATCCGGGTTTTTTAAATATGTTATAGTTGGTTTTTTTTAAGGTGATAATCGGGTGGGATATGTGGAAATAGAAACCACAACACAGTGTGGTGACTAGAGTGTGGGGGTGCTACCACCACAACCTTAACCCCTTTTCCAACATACAAGGAGGCGATTTATTTTTTATTTTTATTTTTATTCTTATTTTTATTCTTATTTTTGTTTTATTCTTTTTGAACATTAACAGTTAGTAGTGAGTAAGCAATTTTTGAAACTATTCGTAGTTTTCGAAACTATATATTTATTTATAATTTGTGTACATTTATCATTGGGAAATTACCAAAATTATTCTTATATTTTTCAAAAATTAAAAAAATGTCAAATTAAAAAAAAAACTAGATCTATCATACCCAAGAATTTTTGTTTAGCCCAAAATGCCTTTCATGTCCTCGATAGGGCTGTAATGCCCAAGGATTTCCCATTGTAGTTGTGCTTGGGCATCGCGGCTCATCATAGGGCCGTGATGCTTTGGATGCACCCAAGGCATCCAATGCTTTGGATACACCCAAGGCATCTGAGGGAAGGAAGGGGGCCTTGGGCAGAGGCATGCCCAACGAAAGCTGCAATGGGAAGCATCACAGCCCTATTAGTTCCGTGAAGGGCAGTTTAGGCTAAAAACAATTGTTGGGTATATACATAATTTTTTTAAAAAAATAATTGATATTTTTGAATTTTTGAAAATATAAGAATATTTTTCATAATTTCCCCTTATTTTTCATTATTTCCCTTTGTATAAAGCCGAGGCTCTAGGCAATCAAAGTAAAGTGCACCTTCAAATAGTGTCGAGAAATGTGGTTACAATATTAAAAATATTTGTGACAGCCTTAAAATATATTTTCATCTTTAATTATAAAATTTAAAGCTTCAAAAACATTGCAGATCGAGGTGATCCATAAAAAGTTGAAAACCTTGAAAATTGACTGTCCAAAAATGTGTTGCAAGCTTCACTATTTCCAAAACTTGAAATTCATTTTTATGTCCATGCATCTTGAAGTCAAGATGATCAATTTGAGGATATTTGGGCATCAAAACAATCTCTTGTAGTGAAATTTTTGAGGTGGGCTGTAATTTGATTATTTAGAGCCTCAGCTCTATATATAAACATTTTCCTTTAATTAAAGGGGAAAAGTTTATATAAGGTTGCAACCTTAAAATGTAGAATCACCACCTCAAAAATATATCGAAAAGGTTATTTTAATATTGAAAAACACCCTTTAATTGATCATCTCGGCATCAAGATGTTTGAATATTAAAAAAAAAAATTTAAGTCTAAAAAATAGTGCATCTTGCTACACATTATTTAGACCGTCCAATTTCAATATTTCCATATGTTTATAGATCTACTTGATTTTAACCATTTTTAAAGTTTAAATTTTCTAGTTAGATATGAAAATAGTCTTTAAGATAATTTTAAAAATATTTTTCAATAAAATTACATGTTATTATAAAATTTGAAAGTACGCCTTAATTGAATTGTTTATGGTTGCAGACAGAGCACCCTTAATTAAAACGTAAAGAGCAGTTATTCAAAATTTTGACCGCAAGCTTTTTAGTAGTTAATACCCCAGAGCCACGTACGAATGCGCAGAATGCAAGTCAGTCGCGAGAAAGTTTTCAATAATTAATACCCTAAGTACTTTATTTTTTTTTTTACTAATATATTTTTATTATATTATTTTGAAAAAATTATGAATATATCTGCTATAGTTTGCGTTACGACGAAACTAGCGAATAGTTTCCGTTATTCTCTGCGTATTCTCTCTCTATGGATTTTCTTGTTTTCGGTTGTTGAACAATTGAATTAACTGAATTTTCAATTATTCCATAACTGAAATTCTAGATAAGAAACAGTTTAAACTCTAAAGTATAGAGAGAATAGATAAACATAAGAGAAAAAATAGATAAAAGTAGAGAAAAGTTTAAACTCACTCAAAGTATAAAAAGAGAATGGATAAACATCATAGAGAGAATAGATAACCATAGGGGAGAGTGTAAAGGGTTAAGAAGAGTTTCAACCCATCCAATCTAAGGTATAGAGAGAGAATGGATAGACATTGGGTGGGTTTAAACTCTTCTCTACCTTTTAAACTCTCCCCTACTTATCCATTCTCTCTATGTAGCTCAGATTGGGTGGGTTTAAACTTTTCCTATATTTATCCATTCTCTATGTTTATCCATTCTCTCTATACCTTAGGGTTTAAACTCTTCATTATCCATTCTCTCTCTACAATGATTAATCTATGTGGATAAATATCTGGAAGAGTTTAAAGGGAAAATATGAATAAAGCATGGGTGAAAGAAATGTAATGACTAATCTATGTGGATAAACATCTGGACGAGTTTAAAGGGAAAAGACGAATAAAGTATGGGTGAAAGAAATGTATAAAGGATTTCGGTTGTTGAACAACCGAAAATCCATTGAATTCGATTGTTGAAAAAAGAAAACTCCATAAAGAGAGAATATGCAGAGTACCTACGAAAAAATTTCTGTTGTTGAAGAAGCGAAAATTTTACTTCTTTAACAATTGAAAAGTTTGAATTTTTGGTTTTTCAAAAACCTAAATTTGCTTGTTTTCGATTGTTAAACTATCGAAAATCCATTGAATTCAGTTGTTCAACAACCGAAAAAGAATAAAATTATCTTTTTCTAAAAAAAAGTTCATTATGACATAAAAAAGACAGACATATAGGTAATAACGGAAACTATTTGATAGTTTTGTAATAACTCAAACTATAACAGATATGTATGTAATTTTTCCTATTATTTTTTACAATAAAATAAGATGCATTTTGGTGGGGGCATTCTGAGAATTATATTATTCATATATATAATAATCTTATCATGGCATTATTCGTAGTTTGCAAGGCATATTTTCCATATTTTTATATTTTACAACATTCAACAATAATCTTCCAAAAAAGTACGAAACAGATGACATTAGCTGGGTGTCGCTCAGTGGCGAGAGGCAAGTCCATGAGTTTCTCTAAGATTTTTTAATTCTAATGAAAATAAAGAATTTAGGAGGGATATTCAATACATTTATTATCTATAATATTTATAATCCATTTTGTTAGTAAAATTTTAAAAATATTAAGATTAAAATAACGATAGATAGAAAAAATGACAGAAATTTGATAAATTAATGGAGAGGGGGCACTTGTCGGAGTAGCCAAATAGGGCCGGTTCACTTGCCGAACTAGTCACATAATTTAAAAATTAGGAAAAATAAAAAATAAAAAATAAAAAATGATAAATCCAGAAAATATAGGAAACTCCAAACAAAATTAAGAAAAATGCTAGGAATAAAAATAAGAAAAAATTGGATAAAACCTCAAAAAATGAACTTTCTAATCAATTTACCCACAATCTAATTTGTTCTAGCAACTTCCCCTAAAAACCATGTTTCCTAGCAAATACCCACAATACAAAAAGTTTATTTATTTTTGATGAAAATACCCTTCCCGTACATAACAAATCATTTTCGGATCCCAATAAAAGGAAACGCCGGACCACACTTTTACAATGCCTGCTCACTTCAAAATCCCGGATCGTCACTTTAAAATGCTCGACTGCCCATTCAAAATGCCGTACCGCCACCCCGGACTACCCCTTCAAAATGGCGGACCACTATTTCAAAACGCCAGACTGCCCATTTCTGGAATAGCATAATCCCCGGACCGTCACAATGAAACGCCAGACCGCCCATTCGAGCAAACTAATCGTAGGACAACGTCTTCTAAACGCCAACCGCCCTCTCCAACGAAAATAATTTGTTAGATTATGGAAGGGTATTTTAATTAAAAAAAATGAAATTTTTGTATTGGGGGTTTTTGCTAGGAAACATGATTTTTTGGGGGAAGTTGCTAGGAAAAGTTAAGTTGGCGGTAAATTACTTAAAAAGTCTATTTTTGGGGTTTTTTTGTAATTTTTTTTAAAAAATAAAGTCTGTCAAGTATTATTGTTTGGACGCCGTTAGCATGTGGCCAACTCGGTAGAAATGCGAGCTTGGCAATAAATATATTTTTGAAATATAATTTGATCATAATTTTTAGAGAATATATAATCTTTAACATGGAGATCATGAACATGAAAAAATAAATAAATTTTAAAAACTAAAAATAATAATTATATTAAAAAAATATTCGGACTATTAGTTACAATTGTTTTTAGATGGACCACCTATATGCATCCATCTTTAAGATGGATGCTTTATATTTATGGACTATATGTTGTAGAAATGCGGTCCAGCCTGCATGGAATAATTGTTCTTATTGTTTTCCATACTTCATGGTTTATTGAAATTGAAGTATTAAAAACATAAATAAATATAAGAACCAAAAACCCTAGTACTTGTTTTAAAAAGTGCGTAAATCCTTCATAAAAAGCAAAAACATAAAACAATAGACTTAACAAAGAAATAACCATTAACATGAACAAAAGAAACAATATATTGCATGAATTTCGAAAAAAATAAAATAAAAGGGCAATCGTATGCCTAGAAAATCTATAAATTTTTATTTTTTAATATAAAACGAGAAAAATGGTGCCATAGACTTGGTCCATCAAATCGGGCGAAATGATGGTCGGAATCCTCCTCGGAAGTTGTGCAAAAGTTGGGCTTAAGTTTGGGGTGATTTTATGTAGAGAGAGTGTGTGAGAAAATTGCCAAAAGTTTTTCCTCTCTCTAAAAACAAATTTTAAATCCCGAAACCCTACCTATTTTAGCAAAACACCAACGACCTCTATAAAAAATTTAAAAGACAAAAAAAACCAAAAAGGTCGGAAAATGATCCAAAAATCAAAAGTAAAAAATGAAAGGAGGAAGTAATTTTTTAACATCATTGGACCTGCCCGGTTCGACAATGAACCGGTTGACCAGCCTACGAGAAAAATTTTAGGATAAGAATTTTCAAATGCCATCCAAAATACACCTATCTTCCATGATATGCCAATTCCAAGATATGCGAGTCATCTCCCTCAGCCAAGCATCTTTGGTATCCACATAAACCTTTAGAGACCTATCTGAAATTTTATCATTAAAAGGGAAAGCTTTCCATATGATAATACGATAATAAATTCATATATGCCACCCCTCTCTTAACCATCCGATTTGGATAGATGGCTAAGATGACCCAATCATAATGTCATGTCTATAAATTAAATTGATAGAAATTTTTGGATGACCCATTTTCTCATAGAGTCGCATCTACGAAAAATACTAAAAATATTTTAAATAAAATAAAATGATTGAAAATTTTAGATGTAGTTTGGTCATTTTAATTTTGTGAAAATGTTTTTTAATATTCTCATCGTTGTGTCCCATTGAGGTTATTATACACCAAATTTCATGTTCATATGATTTGTAAATAAAAAATAAAAAATAAAATACTCTGAGACATCAGATCTAGATCAAATGATAAGAAGCTCCCTTTTGACATTATCTTGGAAGCTATTCAAGCCATCCATTCATATCAAACGATTACGAAAAAGTGGCGTTAAATTCCCCATGCCTAGTAACATATAGAAAGCGTTTCCTTTTTTAAAACTCTATTAAGATTGTAAATTCCTTGATGAAAATTTGCTGGTAAGAATAAGATTTTGAAAGCATTGAGTAAATAGGACTTCAAGCATTTTGCAAAAAAGAAGATCTACCGCATTCCATCGAGACTTTCAAGAGTTCCGATGCACGACGTGCATAAGAATGGCCAATAAAGCTCCTTTAAATGAAAGCTTAAACCTGTGAAAATACCCTATAAAATAAAATCATTACCACGAATATATATCATGAGGATTGTGAGAAAAGGTGACTTTATATCATAAACCTGAATACATAAATTGAATCCAGCAGCTTTTTTCAAATTAAAGATAGAGATAAATTCCAACTCCGAAGACAATTGATGATTATCATCAATGTATGCGTGATATGTAAGGAGGATGAGGAAACAATCCATCCTATTCCTCAATTGCAAGTATTTTTGCAATATGGGAGTGGGTCGATTGTCTGGCTGGCCCCTGGTCCCATAATGCCCATATTTTTCTTCAATAGGTGTGGAGTCCTTCTTTTGCCTTGCTAGGCCGGAATGTTTGGAGGATATCGATCGCTGCCTCCTTATGGACCTTGTGGAAAGAGAGAAACCTTAGAATCTTCGAGGGTCGATTTAGAGATATTATGACCTTACTCTCTGATATACAGTGCATTGCTATCATGTAGCCATATGCCTCCCACCCTCTCACGGCAGCGCCCAATCTCCTTCTCTTCTCTTGCTTCAAAGACCTACTCTTTCTTAAATGCCGTCAGTTGTCTCTTAGACATGTTTGGACAAAGCCTCCAGAAGGTTGGTTTAAATTGAACTTTGACAGGAGTGTTAGGGGTGCTCGGTCTGGCTACAGTGGCCTTCTCCGTAATCATAATGGCTCATTAATCTGATCTTTATCGGGTAGTCTCCATTCATGTGAGATTAATGAAGCAGAACGCTGGGTAGTTAAAATGAGTGTTTTTTATCTTGCCCAGTTCCACGGGAAGATTATTATTAAAGGAGATTGGGCCAATGTAATTTTATGGTGCTCCCAACCATTCCAAACTCTGTGAAAACTGAGCATGATCATGGATAAAATCCTCTTGGCACTAGAGAATCGGGGAACAACACTTTGTCAATATTTTTCAAAGTGTCAACTCAAATGCCGACTTTTTGGCAAAACATGCTATTGCCACTTCATTTTGGTGTGAATGGCTGCTTGTGACCTACTTAGTTAGGGCTTTCCTTCTTCTTTTTTTTGTTTTTTTTTTTCTTTCTTTCTTTTCTTGCTTTTTCTTTCCCTTATAACCTCCATTATCGTAATGAATATCTCCTTTATCAAAAAAACAAAATATAGAGACAAATAAAGATTGATAAATGGACAAAATTGAAATAAAAAATGAGTGAATTACGTACGAACACCCAAAAAAAATGAAATACAAAATGAGTCAATTTTGGGTTAAATTATGCGGGCAGTCAGTCAACTAGATGTTTTTTATTTTTTTTCAAAATTACCCTCGGTCTAAAGATACCATCCTCGGATGTTTTTTTATTGAGTTTTTTTGGTAGTAGGGTTGTGCCCTAATGTTTGGGGTAGTGCCTTGTCAGTTTGATATTAGCATCATCAAACCACCTTCTATGGTGCATTTCAAATCGGTTTGAGGTCAAAGACTGACTTTGTTAATCATTCAGAGGCGGTCCGAGCTACCAATTCAAGGGCCGCTTTCTCTAGTGCCCTTCAAGGCCATCCCAGGTTGGCATCCTCATATTGCATTAACTCATTTGCTTGCTAATAAATAAGGCAGTCCGAGGATGCCAACCTACGATTGCTATTTGGACTGGACACTACCCCTCACACTAGGGCATTGCCTTACTAACGGAAAAAATTAAAATAAAAAATAAAAAACAGTCCCAGGATGCCATCCTCGGACAGGACGGAAATTTAAAAAAAAAAAAAAAATACAAGTTGACCGACCTTCCGTGTAATTTTTGCCCAAAATTGACCCATTTCTTTTTTTGTCTATACGTAAATTACTCAAAGTAAATTATTCACCTTCTTGTTTAATGCATAAGGACAAGCTTTCTATACTTCCCCTATAGCATAAAACTTATATGATTCTCCTTATCAAACCGTCCATTCTGAATGGACGACAGAGATGACCCCAATCACAACATCATGTCTTTAAACCATTTTATTTTTAATTTATTTATACGTTATTTTGACACCAAATTTTGAGCGTCTACACCTCTCTTGAACTCGCACTTATAAAAATTATTATCAATGAAATTAAATGATTAAAATACCCCTAAAAGTTTTAAGGGGTATTTTGATCATTATATTTTCTAAAAAATATTTTTTAATATTTTTTTTAGGTTTGCCCCATTGAGAAGCTGGCACGTACCAAATTTCATATTCATACAATTTGTAGAAAAAAATAAAAATAAAATACTTTGAGACATTGGATCTAGATCAAACAGTGAGTGGCTCTAATGATCTAAATTGGACTTCTAAATTCGACGGCTGGATAGGGAGAAGCATATATCTAATATGCTGTTGGGGAAGTACTGAACCTTTCCCGAAACATAGTAGATAGATATGCCCCATTGGTTTCGGAAGTTTACTTTTTCCTGGAAGATGGACATATACACTTCCCTTGAAAATGACCCCATTTATTATTTAAATTCAAATATTAGAACCATAAATAACATGGAAAAAATAGAAGTGTCCAAATACTAGGGACTTAAGAAAGGTTTTACAAAATAGATACTTGTCAAGCTAAACTAGGAATTCCACCAAAATATTCCTGTAAACTATTTAGAATGTTGTCTTGGTAAAACAACTATGTCAAAAAAAATCAAACGATAATAGGAACATAAGAAATAAATTATATATAAGATTAGATTAACCTTAAACATCAGTGGATAAAATATTAAATGACTTAAAAATTAAATGAAAGGAAAAATAATATATCAATATTGTTGAATGTTTATGTGCATCTAAAAGTATTTGAAGATGTTCTAGATAGGTGCTTTACTTTTAGCTTAAGAGTATTTCATGTTTATGGGCGAGGTTTGTACAAGGTTGCAATCTTAAACAATCAAAGTAAAGTACACCTCAACTTTATCGTGAGATGTAATTTTTTTTTTGAAAATTTTTAGAATGGTGCGAAAATCTATTTTTATCTCTAATTATAAAATTTTAAACTCCAAAAATAGTTCAAATTGAGTAGATATATAAAACACATGAAAATCTTGAAAATGGACGGTCTTGATAATGGGATGCAAAGTGTACTATTTTTAGGACTTAAAATTATTTTCTCGATATCTATACATCTTGATGTCAAGATGACCAATTAGATTATTTTCTAACATCAAAACAACCTTTTTCTAAGGATTTTATAGGTGCACCTTAACATTGAAGGTCTAAACCTATATAAACTACGGTAGTTTGGTTTACGTACCAAGCCTTAACCTATGTGGTTTGGGCGCCAAATGACAAGTTTTCACGTAACGGTATTAGAGCCCAAGAAAAAAAAAAAAAAAAAAAAGGATATTTAAGAAAAAATACATTTGAATGACCAAATTATTTTAGAAAAAAAAATACTAACATAGTCAAAACAAACAACTGATTGCCACAGCGGTCAATTTTAAAAAGATCACCTCACTAATAGCAAATATTCAAAAAATGCGTCCTCGAAAAGCCCGTATACTATATTTTGAATTTTGATAAGCAAGTGTTTTAGTAATGGATGAGCTTTTTACAAGAAAACAAAATATCCAATCATTTTATATTTATGGGTGCGGATTGTATAGAGCCGAGCATAGCACACCTTCGAGGAATGTGGTTTCAATACAACAAATCTTTGACTAGTATTAAAATATATTTTTATCTTTAATTAAAGTTTCAAAAATAATATAGATCAAACATATCTATGAAAATTTGAATAACTTAAAAATTGACAATCCAAAAATGTATTACAAGACGTACTATTTTCAAAACTTGAAAATTTTTTTTTTTTCGAGTCTATGTATTTTGATTTTGAGATGATCAATTTAAAGATATTTAGAAATTAAAATAAATTTTTTTATTTATTTTTTCAAATAAATATTTTGAGATAGACTCTAATTTGATTGTTTGGAAAGAATAATTAGATTGTTTGGAAAGAACCTAGACAATTGAAGGTGAAATTGGACGGCCGTACTTCCTAAATCTGCCCGTCTTTTTTTTGTTTTTTTGTTTTTTCTCTTTTTTTCACTAGACCCTGATTTACACATATAACGGGCATTTAGTGTTGCAGGACGAAATGATCAGCCATGCCCCTCGTGGGCATGCCTGTTTTCTCCGCGACCGTTGGCGCTGCATCCGTAAATTCGATTCAAATCGAGTGGTTGCAGATCCATATACTGCGTGCTAGTTTCCTCTATCTAGGCCATGTCGTTGCAGGCCTCTAATGGCGATTCCTAGGCCAAAGCCTTGCAGCATCTATACTTATTTCAATCCCTTCTTACCAGAAAACCAGCATACCTTAAAAGCCATCTCCACAGTTCTTCAAACCAGGGAAATTTCGACTCCTCTCTCAAGAAATTAGTCCCCAATTTAACAGCAAACCACGTCGTTCACCTCATTCTTTCTCATCCATCACAAGACCCGCCTTCTCTACTCTCTTTCTTCAAATGGGTTGCTGCCCAAAGGGGTTTTCGCCACACCATTCAGTCATTTCGCCATGTCCCACTTTCTCTCTTTACACAGGATGGTCCCTGAAGCTCTCTCTCCTCAAAACTGTGGTCTCTCACAAGGGCCGAGAGTCTGCTTCTTCAGTATTCAATACGCTCCGCGAAACCCAAGTGGAAGATGGGCAGCGCCATGACCAACTTTCTCACTCTACATCTTTTGAGAACGTTTACACTGATTCTGGCTTCATATCTGATGCAATTGAATGCTTGAGACCGGTAAAAAAACACGGTTTTAAGCTTCCATTTCAGTCATGCAATTATCTTATGGACTGCATCATGAAATCAAATACTCCAGCTGCTGCTTGGGCTTTTTACTCTGAGATTCTGGACTATGCGTATCCACCAAGTGTTTATACTTTTAAAATGATCATGCATTCATTCTCTAGAATTGGAAAAATTAAGGAAGCACAGGTATTATTTTATGACATTCGGAATCGTTACTCCCTCTGTGGTGAGTTTCAACACTCTTACAATGGTTTATGCAAGAAGGGTGATTTAGAGGGCGGGTTCTCATTGAAAATTTTAATGGTGGAAGAGGGAATTGCACCTGATGTTGTGACTTACAGTGTGCTAATCAATGGTTTGTCTAGAGAGCAAAAGATTAAAGAAGCTTGTGACTTGTTTGATGAAATAAATGACAGAGGCCTGGTCCCTAATGGCATCACCATCACCACTCTCATTGACGGCTACTGCAAAGGAAACATAGAAGAAGCTCTGGAAATATATCAAAAAATGATGAAAGAAGGCTTGAAACCAGACCTCGTAACATATAATTCAGTAATATATGGGCATTGCAAAGTGGGGGAATTGAAAGAAGCAGGAAAGCTTTTCCTTGAAATCAGAGAGATGGGTTTAAAGCCTGATAAGATAACCTACACAACTTTGATTGACGGTTTCTGTGAGGAAGGAGATATAAAAGCTGCCATGGAAATTTGAAGAGAAATGGTTAAGGAATTGATTTGGACAATGTAGCTTATATTGCTCTCATGGCAAGGCTTAGCCGAGAGGGTTGGATCCCTGATGCACAGAAAACACTTAGGGAGATGCTGAGAGAGGGGTTAACACCTGATGAAGCCACTTACACAATGGTAATTGATGGCTATTGTAGGAGAGGTGACATAAAGATAGGGTTCAAGTTATTGGAGGAGATGAAAAATAATGGAGTTGTGCCAGGAGTGATCACATATAACCTACTCATGAATGGGTTGTGTAAACAAGGCCGGATGAAGAACGCAGGAATGCTTTTGAATGCTATGCTTAACCTTGGGATTGCGCCTGATGATGTTACATATAATATATTGTTGGATGGGTGTTGTAAGAGTGAGGGATTGAAGGAACTGGTAAAGTTGACAGGGGAGAAGAGGCTAGTTTCTGATTATGCGGCTTATTCATATCAGTGACGTTGGGCAGAGGTCCAGAGATCATGGGGGAATTCAGTATTCCTTGACTGTTTTGGAGGGGAATTCAGAGAATAAGAACTCATGTTATTGAGATTACACACCTCGCCCCCTCCCCCCCCTCTCTCTCTCTCTCTCACACACACACACACACACACGTGCGAGTGCATGCATCTGCACATAATTTTTGCAATCTCACATTGAGAGTTTAAATAGCACAAGAAGGATACTCTTCTTTCATAATTTATATAAATTTTGAATGCTCTAATTTATCAAGTCAGAGAGCACAATGTTAATCGCAACTCAAGTCCAAGTCTTTCATAAATGATACAACTCTCCTGGCAAGCTTTTCATCAACCCAAGACCAGCTGCAGCAAAAAAATAGCGCCCTATCATATTCCTTGGCTGGCTCTGTTCTGTAGGGGCAATCTTCATTTCCACAGACGTGAATACACATCGAGTTTAACTGTATACAGCCATATAATTCTTGTATGTTTTCTACCTCACCTATCCATTCCTTCAATTTTAAGAACAAGAGATGAAGTAAAGGATGACGGTCTAGAGAGGCCAAACATCTCTCTGCAAACAAAGCTTCTGACTTCTCACTCATCTGATCAATTTCGATGGCCACTTCTGTACCACTGGAAGAGGCTAAATTTCGCTCTGCTGGCAAAGCTTCCAAATCTCTTTCTAACAAAGATCTTGAATCTTTCTCCACCATGAAAGCTTTCAAATTCCTCTCAGCCGACAAAGCATCCAAATCTTTCTGCATTGAAGAACCTTTGGAATCTCTCTCTATTGACAAACCTTCCGATTTCTTAGCCATTGAAACCTCACCAGATTGGATGCCTACGTACACGGGAAAACAATAACTGCAATGAACTTCATGTTCTTTTGTGTTTAAGAAAGGTAATAACTCTTCTTGATGCACAATCTTGGCCCTCTTTCCCTTCTCCATGACTATGATTCCTTCTGCCACCTTTGATGGGAGCCCGGTCAGGGTCTTGTTTCCTTCAATGATGTCATCTAACACCCTTCTCCTCATCATGCTTGTGTTGTGTTTGATGAATGCTTTGGTCATGTCTACTTTCACAATCTGGGTTGAGGGGACAGACACTGTTTCATGGTTTGCAGGGATATGGCATTCAATTGTCAGTTCTGATTTTATTCTCTCCCTAAGGATTTCCATGTTGGGTCTCTCCCCATGGACAAGGACCACTTGTCTTGGTGACACATGTTTGATAAGATCCATGATACCCTTGGAATCCGTATGGGCTGTGAACGCGAGCTGATGGATCTGGTTCATGGAGGAATCAGTAAATTAAGTAATTGAGGTTTATTCATGGGAATCAAATGAAATAGAGAACAAAGGCAATTTTTGTCTTGCTGAAAAGGAGGATAATAAATATCCAATCCTTCTTGGGCAAGCATACGAAAATCCAGGATGAACAGGGACCAACAGAATTATGATGGGTCCCACCCTCTCTATCCATCACCTTTCTTCATTTCACCATTATGTTTTTCACTAGTCCATTGGTTTGTGTGTACTATTTTGTTCTATGGTAAAAATAAAATAAAATATAAAAAACAAAAAAGGAAATAAATGAAAAATGGGGTTTCATGCTATTATCGAAATGTTAATAAATAAAGGATACGAACCTGGCAGCGCACATCTATGTGAGTCTTGTCATCCAAAATGATCTGCTTGGGTTTAGACATAAGTTTATTGCCAACTGTTCCATATACACAGTAACTGAAAGAGAATTATATGGTGATTAGCACAGATGAGATCCAAAAATGAATAATGAGGTTGATGTTCAAGAATTTCATGCTTGTTTTAGAGATAGCCATGTGAAACTCAAATGCCCCCATGCAAAACTGTAAGAAAGATAGCTTCTGATTTAGCAAAAACAAGATAGACTCATAGAAATTGTCAAATCATGTTTGGAAAAATAACAGAAATGTAAACCCATGAGCAACAAGCACTAGTACACTCATTCAGAAAGCTACAGTGCGATAAACATGAGCCACGTATTTCTCTCAGAACAAATGTATTTGTGAAGGATTTACTTCTTTCCATTCATTTCTCAATGTGCCTTTAGATTATTTTTCTTGAATATGTTAACTGTATTAAGCTAAAACAAATGGACCTTTAGATATTGCATAATTTTTATTGCTTTGATATAAAGCCAAAGGGCCTAACTCCAGCTAGATCTACAGTATCACTACCAAGTGTAAAGTTCATATAAGGTCTCAACCTTATACTGTACGGGTTAGGTACACTCAGAAATCCCACTGGTGAAGGTTGTCCCTATGCTGGAAAACCCTCAAATCGATCTTCTGGACCTCGAGATTCATAGACATAAAAAAAGGGGATTTCTAGTCCTAAGAATAGTTCATCTTCTAACACATTATATGGACAATCTATTTTCAAGATTCTCAAGTGCATACAGATCTGCTTGATTGTTGCCATTTCTGAAAATTTAAATTTCATAATTGGAAGCAACAATAGATTTTCATATCATTACAAGGCTTTGTGGCACCAAATTTGCATTTTTGGCATAGTTTTGATGTGTACCTTCAATAGTATAAAGTTGGAACCTTATACAAACCTGACCCTTTTTTTCTTTTTTTCTCTATTGATGTTTAACATCACTGCCATGTGGTTTAAAATGAATATCCCTAGGGGGCTAGCACAGTCATCCATGTTTTGTTTAAACCCCTACTATTTTTATTTTTGTTGGGGTTTGTGACCCTTAACGGGGGTGAAGAAGAACATGTATATTCTTCAGTAGGAGTATGTGTGTTTGGTGATGGACCAAGGGTTAGGCAGTCTATCGCCCTGGTCAAATCTAAAACCCTTACCCCGGGGCAAATGGCACTACCGAAAAGGGTTTACAGAGGGTCATCTTTTTTGTATGTCGAAGAGAGGCTCAGATATAGTTTGTAAGTTAGGAGAGGAATTTAGTTTCCTGTGTGCGAATATAGATATGTTAGAGCTATGGCTAAATCCTCAACAAACTTCTACATGGACCAGATTACTGGGAAGCAAACTTGAAAGGGTATACGCGTACACATGCATAGAGAAAGTCCCCATTGAACTATAGTGATATGTGCAAGTTATTTGCTCTTAAGGGGGAACCTGTAATCCACATTCCAGGACCATAGTTCCACTATTTATTGGCCGGCTCTGACGAGCCAATCATGAACCCTTGCATGACATTATGGGTCATTGGGTCTTGTTTGGGTCAATTTGAGAACATAGTTGGGGATCATAATTACTGGGTCGGGTGGAGTGCCCTAACAGTCACTTATCTTCACCCATCGGAACCAGTAATAAATATTTTATTTTTAGGGAGAAATGTTTCTGCAAATTTTAAAAATTTTACAGAATTTTTGAAGTTATTTTCAACACTAAAAACCTATTGTGATCGTGTGGAGGGGCACAAGTGGGGCCCTTGGATCCAACCCCACGTGTGTTGCATGGGGCCCACACGTCAACCGTAGAGGTGACATGCCCCCCTCCTCTCTTGTTTTAGTATTTTTGATAAAATTTTAAGTGTTTTATTAAAGTTAAGTAAGATAATTTTTTAAAAAAAAAAGAAGAAAAGACTATGTTCTTATTTCTCGGAGTTAGTTTTTTATAATATCCTTGACCAAAATATTTTATTTTGACTTCCTACAATTTTATGAGAGATAAATGAACTTCTAAAAGATTATTTTAGATTGGTCTTATCCTAGTTTGACTAGAAGTGGATATGGATCAAAGATTCAGGAGATAAGGTTCTTAATAGTCCTCTTTAAATCATAATGGCTGATTTATTGGATGGATGGCTCATATTTAATTTCTCTTCCACCTCAAAATTTACTAAAATCCTATTGATCACGGTGAGTCATAATTGGATAGGCATACCTAGGGGCCCTTGAGGCCTATTTAAGGAGGTTACCCCCATCATCCTCTACACAATTCCATAGACTCTCTCTCTCTCTACTCCCACTCTCTCTCCTCTCTAACTCTCATCACTCTCTCTCTCTCTCTCTCTCTCTCTCTAGGTGGCACGCACCACCCTAGTTAGGTTATGGGGAGGAAGGCACGCCCAGCCCTAGAAAAAGGGAGATGACCAATGTCATGTACCCTAATTGTTCCAACTCAGAAATTCGGCAAAGCCAATAGGGTCAAAGTGTGCCATTAGTCAGAAAATCATGTGTGGGGTATACTATGTCCTACAAGGGTGACTCTAGGCGAATTCGAGTAAGCTTCCCAGTTGTTTGCTTTTATTTTTTTCAGTTATATTTGCATATTATCTTAAATTTCTAGGAATATTATTTGTATCAAAATTGTTAGTGAAAATTTGTTTTTCATTCCTGAATTGTATCTATTCCTTTTAATAGTAAATGAACAGAACCTAGGTTGTATTTAGGATTTTGTTTTTTGTTTTTTGTTTTTTGCTTTTTGTTTTTTATTTATAACAATATTTGTGGCACCTGTAAGTAGAATTCATATTTATTAATTAAAAAAAAAAGAGAAATTTTTTTATTTTATTCCCTTGAATTCCATATAACCACTTCTTTCAATTCTGTCACCCAAACCAAGGTGGTTAAGACGAGTCAATACTCATTGTTTCGCCACCCACCGTTTTGGATGAACTAGTGATAAGTGGGCGGCAAAACTAGTCCCCTAAACTTATATACCCATATTCAAACATTTCATGCCTTTGATCTATGAAAACACATGTCCAAGATTCATAAGATGCCAAATACATGACATAAGAAACCACATACGAGCCATAATCTAACACAACAGGAAGTACCTCAAGATGAAGCCAATACTAGAACCGAGACTAATAAATATACACATGCCAAACTCCCAAGTAAACTAGAGACATATTACATGGCCTCGCAAGCAATAGATAATTGCATAAAACTTTGAACATTTCAAAAAAAAAAAAATACTAACTAAAAGAACATACCCTGGAAGACAGATAAGATTCATCTCAGATGGAGCCCACTGTTTGAAAACCTCTAGGGAAAACCCACCGCTTAGCATTCCAGGCGTAGCGAAGAGAACACATGGTCCAGGAGCAGTCATTTGAGAACGATCAAAATCACAAACTGCAAGGATGGAAACAACACTAACCAAGTAAAGGCATATGAGAAAAACCATACATGAGATGACCATTCCTTTTTCTATCTTTTTTCTTTATTCACAAACTGCAAGGATGGAAACAACACTAACCAAGTAAAGGCACATGAGAAAAACCATACATGAGATGACCATTCGTTTTTGTCTTTTTTCTTTACTTTTGGCCACATAATATAATTAACCTATGTGATAGGTATTTCCACCATAGCAAAAGGCAATCGAACTGTGCCCAGGTACGTGTACAACTCCAGCAAACATTCCCAAGCAACTTTAAATGGATATAGGGTCAGGTGCACTCATGCTGAATATGAATACTTTCGAAAGCTCTATGGAACATGACTTAATATAGGTCATGACTGAACAAATGTCCTGCTCTCCCCTCCATAGTTGCTCAGACAACCTAAAGAAAGAGAATGCAAATACATTATGAAATTTATGTTTGAACATGGGAAGAATAAAACTGGCATGGTCCCTTCCCACAGCTCTCAATCCTGGCAAAACTTCCATAGACCTAAAAAAAAGAAAACGTAAAGAGTAATTGGTCCCCTCATAAAATCTTGAAGAGATCCAAAAAAGCTACAACCTTTTCCGCTATGTACAAAGGGCTGGGTTAGCTTGTTTCGCTTTTTGGGACAAACATCAAGGCTAGAACGCTTACCTCCCTGTCTACCATGAAGATGATATTTCTCCAGCATCCAGAAAATCACCCTACGTGAGTGCCACCTACCAATCTACATGGCCAACAGAACATGTGCACCTGCATGAAAGGAGAGAGGTTTCCACATGGTTTTAAAATGCGGTCGCATCATGCGGTATGCGGTGGGCTTCGCATCAGAACTGACCACATATGCGCCGCATTGTAGCTGCGTCCCACATCACACCGCATCCCCTTCTGCCAAAAGTTTTTTTGATTTTGCCCCTTTGGGAGGCACAAAATGGTCTTTTTGACCATCCAAAAATGGGGAAAACTGTTTGGAGGGGTATTAAACCCCCTAAATGATGATTTCCGGCCACTTTTGTGGCTTTTTTCCATCAAATCGAGGGAAAAAAAAATTTTGGCGGAAATTTATTTTTCGATAAAATCTTCGATTTGGCGGTGTTTGATACTTGGATGCTGATTTGATGCGTTTGATTGTTAATTTAGGGATGTTAGGGTGAATTTGTGATAAGAGTTAATAGTTAAGTTATTAACTATTAAATCTTCTTGAGCTTAACTTTTGGTTTGTAAGACCACTATTTTGTGCTTATGGTTGTTGATGGTTGTGCTTTTGTGCTTGTGGTTGTGCTTATGGTGCAAATTTATGCTTATGGTTGTTGATTGTCGAATGTTTTATGAAGTTAGTTTCAAGTTTCTAGTTTCTATCAGGGGATAGTGGCTACCTGGATACAGAATCTCCGACAGCTAATAATTTTGAAGTTAATCATTAAACTAAAATACCTACTATCTCATATATCACCTCCATATTTTTTTCTATACATTAACCTATTTTTTTATATTTTTTAAAAAAAATTTACATTTACTGACCTCATCGTTGTGAGGCACCCGCATCGGGGCCGCATCGAGCCGCATTGGTCCCCCCACCGCTTTTGGCCGCAACCCGCATTTTAAAACACTGGGTTTCCATGATACTCATTGATAATTCTACTTACTAACAAAAAGGATTGAATTGACAAGAACCGAAAATACTTTCCACTAGACAATGAGGGAGACTCAACGAAAGTCAATCAATGGACAGAGGGAAGCTCCACTGCCTTGGGAAGTTGTCAAGAATATGGGAGCCAGAGAGAATAGGCCAATATCATCTATATAGTCCTTGCATGAAGGAAATGACATGGTTGTATCAGCTGGCTCATGTGCAACTATTGTAATTTCAACTTACCTATTTCATATATTTAGGAGACACCCCATCATCTTCATTTTCTCATCATCATCATCATCATCAAATCCCTTTCCCAACTATTTGGGGTCCGCTACATGAATCTTGGTCCACCATTTAGCTCTATCAAGGGTCATACCGTCAGCGAGGCCATAAGTCCCCATATCTTTTCTCACTACTTCCAACTATGTCATTTTAGGCCTCTGCTCCAAAAATGCAATCCCATACTACCAGAGCAAGATTTCGATTTGGCACAATCCACATTGATGGAGAGCTATCTCAAGTCGAAAGCAGACATTCAACATATTGACATGCTCGTATTCCTCAATTTTCAAAGGAACATAAGCAATAAATGCATATCAATTAAAAAATGCAATAAATAATTATACGACCTCATATTCCATAAATTTTTCGAAGGAAAAAAGAATCTTAAAAATGCATCAATCACAATGAGAAAGATTTAATTTCCATGTTCCCATGATCGTATTAATATGGGGCCTGTTTGGATGACAATTAATATTATTAAGAGTAGACTATCTTATTTGAAATTAATATATTATGCATAATATTATTTTGTTAGCCGTTAGGCACATACTTTGTGTTATATATATTATTATTTATTTATTTAACCTTATCAGCAATTTTCAGCTATATTTAATGATTTCTGGCTAAAAACATGTTCATTTTCATCAAATTACTTTGAATAAAGTAAAAACAGCTTTCTAAAAGATAAACTTACATCTAAAACTGCCTATAAGATTATCTCAGATAATTTTATGAAGGACCCTGCGAAACAACAAGTAATTCTTAATCAGAGATAATTTTATCGAAATAACAAATTATTTTTTATAATGAGTACCTCCAAACAGGCATATATGAAATCGTGGGTCTAACATTTACCATAAATAGTTATGATATTTGTTTTTGAAACTTATACTTATGAAATTTGATCAATCATCTTTTTAAAATGTGCACAAGAGAGGGAATGATCTCCCTTTCTCATCTCTCTATCTCTCTCTATATATATCTTAGCATTTATTTGCTCGATCACCTCATGCTTTTAATTTTCCTTATTTTTTTCTAATTGAAATGAAAGGGCGTACATAAAGAAAAGAGTAGGACTTATAAAGGATTTGACCAAAGTAAGAGTCTCTATTATCATTTACAATGTAAGATATCTTTAGCACAATCGTAAAACCCAGTCCTCCTGGTGCCTTGAGCCAGGTAAAGGCCCTAGATCATTGCCTAAGGATAGGTAGATGCCTAGTGATACGTGCTTGCATAGACGGCCACCTTTTTGGCCTAGATGGGTGCCTAGCGCTTTGGCCCGCCTTTTGGACCAAAGCTAGCACTATGGTAACCCTTTTGGGGGGTAGAAAATGATATTTGAGAGGGGAATTTTATATCAAATTTTTCCCTAAAAAGAAGAAATAGAGTTTTAGGAGGTATTCCACCGGCATAAAACTCTTTGTGCGAGAGTTCGAAAGAAAAACAACAAATGAAATCTTTCTTTCTTTTTTTTTTGAGATTTTGAAGATTGGAAAAAATTTTGGTACTATCAATTTCGGTACCTTCCATTTCATGCTAGACCGGAGAGCATAAAAGTCAATAGACTCGAAGAACTGGAAAAAGAGGTTTTTCGACAGCCAAAGCTCTCCAATTCGAGCAAGCTCTTATTGGTTTCAAGAGGTTAGATTATTTCAATTTCACTTGTAGGGTTTGGTGATATTTTTCAATATTGGGTAGGAATTTGTTTGTTTTCAATCATTGTTTATAAATAAAAAAAAATGCATTTACTATATTTTATGGCATATTGGCATGTAAGGAAAGATTAAACTTAATTCATCTTATTTCCTGTTTGGGCAAGGTTTGTCTTCTAAAGTTTTAGTAATTCAAGTTTCGAACTCGTTATGTATATGACTGGAATAGTAGAACACATTAGTTAACACAAAATACTTCAAAATCGATCTTTCTGTTATTTATTAAATAAGTTCAAATATGGTGGTTTGATATCCAACCCAAACCCCCACTGCTCTCTATTTTGGGCACTTTGAACAACCTAGGAGGCTGAATCCGAAATTTAAAACTCTAATCTTAGGTATATTATTGTGAATGACTTACATAGGAAAATACTCAAGTAAATAAATGAGTTTTTTTTTGTATGTGAATAAATATGAGTTAATAATCTCAATTTTATTTGAGTAAATTATTTGGAAAATTGTCTAGTTTTATATATTTAGTATATGATCACCATCATGATGCTCCTAAACTAGGGAAGCCCTACAGAGCAATGACCCTCCACTCCCTCTCCTACAACAGACCTTGCCTCCAACACTTATTTTTTATTTTCACTTCATTTCAATGGTATTCTTAAAAATTGGACAAAATGAAATAAAACTATACACGACTCATATTCTAGAAGCAATCAATACCTCAAAGTAATATAATGCTAAAAGCGTCATATTTGCAAAACACCATTAAAGCATGACTCATATTCTAGAAGCAATCAATACCTCAAAGTAATATAATGCTAAAAGCGTCATATTTGCAAACACCATTAAAGCATATAGATGTAGTAAGTCATCACTAGAGTACAGAAAAACACAAAATCACACTAAGCAGCAAAGTTGTCAAGTTGTAAAATAGGTACCATTCTTGAAATCAAATGCATTGCGCGTTACATACGCATCTTTGACCTTCTGGCTAGTCCACCCGATAAGTATCTTATAGTACATATTAGCCTGTATAGTTAAACCTAGAAGATGATCATAAGAGAATGAGTTAAAAACAAAGATACTCCAGATAATGATGCATTAAAATCACAGCATCATACAAAATCTACAAAAAACCAAGAAATTAGGAACTTTATTAATAAAAAGAGTCCTGACGCAAAGACTAGCCCCATATTCATGATTTTTCTTGTATGACAATTCATGTTCTTTCTATCTGCTAGAATAACAAACATTTATAAACAAGAACTATCGAAATAATCAAATGCATTTATTAAATTAAGCCTAAAAGTATGGAACAAATGCCAAAAACTGTGAACAAACAAGAAAACAATTAAAACAGGGTTCATTAGTTCAATTTTGTCTAGAGAATAATGCTATACAATCACAAATGCCAAACCCGCTTCACCATTTCAAGTTTTTGGCAAAGGGCGAGTGGATAAACATTTTTCGTAGCAAGAACATGGAGTTCAAAAGAAAAATAGTTGCGATTAAAAGATCTATACGAGTAGCAATTAAAACCTCTATTAGTTAGAGTGAAAGGCAATTACAGTAGAGGAGATTAGAGAATTCTTGCAATAAAATCTATCTTAGTTTCGTTAGATTCTCTTGGAGACCTCTTTGTTTTGGATGGGGAAAGAAACATCCAATGCGTCAAATGATTCCAGGAATACTTTAGCTTTTTCAATAAAAAGCATGCACGCATATACACACACACACATAAACATAGACATATAGTAAGAGCTACCCTTAGGTTGTCACCTAAAATGAATAGTGATTTTGGTTCTGCACTCAACCCTATGATCGAGTGTCTACTACTATTTGAATTTTATTTTTAGTTTGTTTACAAAGATTGAGCTGAAATTTAGAGTGTGCGTCTCGTTTGGGCGCACCTAAAAACTAAAAATAAAAGACCATACATAAAAATAAAATGAACAAAACACCCCTGCAAATTCCAAGAAATTAAATATCCAAAATACCTCTACAACTTATTTTGTCAATTTTATTTTTTTTAGAAATATTTTTATTTTTCCGGTGTGTGATTGAGATAAGTACACATGGCTGAAATTTCAGCTTAATCTAATTGTAAAAAATCAAATAAAGTTCAAATAGTAACATGCACTCTCAACTGTTGAATCAAGATACGTCAACATTCTCCAAAACAAAACTGTTGAATCAAGATAGATTGATATCTAGGGGTATAACCAAAATCAATATTTATTGTAGGTGACAACCAAACAATAGTATTTCAAATAAATAAATAAATACATATATAAACATACACCAACTATCGTGGAATGGCTAGTTTTTGTTAGAATAATCGTGCGGGCATGGCTCCCAAGCCTGGATTCTTGGGTTCAAGTTCAGCCTACGACCAACACAACACCCAAGCACATGAACACAAAGGCTCAAAGGACCGTGGCCCAATTATATTGCAACTATTTATAGTCACAAGTGGTATATTGACAAAAAATGCCCCCCTCAAGCATCTGGGAATGGGTTTTATATAGCGAGTACAACTTTTGAATTCACATTCAATGGGACTCTTGGCCATGTCATGATAAACATCTAAGGCCCTTTCCAGGTCCTTGCGGTCCCCCTTGCACCTTTTGATCACACCATCCTAAGTAGCACACCCCGCCTGACAAAGCCATCATGATCATACACCAAAATTCAAGTTTTGAATATGGTTGTCTGCCCAGCTCAAGCGCACCATGGAGCCCACAATCCAGCCCATTGCCTCGTTCTGTGCTGGTATGGTTATGGAGCCTAAGCCCCTCCATGCCATGCACCACATCTGCCTTGCCCACTACGAATAGTTGGTTAGTCCAAGGCCCACTCACATTGGGTTGTAGGTGTAAAGCCCACCAATAGTGGTAATAATTCCATGCATCAAAGTCGCATACCTGCACCACAATTCTCACAGGGTTGTCTCTCTTGGGTCAGCTGGGTTAAGGGAGGCTCCTCGGCCAAGTCCTTAACTAACATGCTTGCAGCGAGCTGGGGATCTGACAAGCCTCCCACACTAAGAGATTCCCATGTCCTCATAGAGGGTCTAGCTAGAAACTCCTAGATCAAACCCTCGTATTCTCTCCGAGTTGCAACCCTTTCCCAACTAGCTTCGTCGTCTGGCAAGGAAGTCCACTTAACTAGAAATTCCATCCTTCAATTTTTCTTGGTCTCCCCCAAACCCTTGTCGAGCCAGGATGGCCTCGACCTCACATATGAACTGCGTCCCCACACTTGGGGGCGTTCGAACTGCCTAAACCCTTGACTCATCCCCGCACGATGATAAAACCTCAAGGAGCTCGCATAAAACGTCGAATGCACCTTGAACTAGTTTGGGAGAGACAAACGATTGGCCAACTTCCCTATCTGCCTAGTCCCCTAAAAGAGATCATCGTACATCTAGATCAAGCCATTGTGCGTCATCTTCACGCTGATCTTCTTCCAAGTCTAGGGAGTGAGCTTCATCATCTAATCCCCCATCTTGAACTCAAGATGTTACCAACACGTCAGCATACTTCATCCATCAGACCGCTTGGCATAGACAATCACGAATCTCCTTGAGCTATTCAACCCTTGCCTTAGCTAACATTAATGCTACCGGACATCGCGATGGACTCTGTCATGAGTCCACATCATGTGGTGCCAAGGGTTGCTGATCTGTGAGCTTTAAGGCGCTCTTCCCCTAAACGAGCTGCACTGCAAGTTAGAGGCAAAAGTGGGCTAGATCTAGCAAGTTAACCCAGTTGTACTGGTTGGCAATCACTTAATGCCGGAGGTATTCATCCAATATCATAGTCACCCTCTTAGTCTACCCATTTGTCTAAGGGTGCTTGCTGGTCGAAACTCGTGAAGTTCATCCTTGTGTCCATCATCTTAAACAAATGCTGCCAAAAGCTCCCTATGATTACACGTCAACTAAAGGGTATGGCTGAAAGAAAGAATAAATCCTTACTAGAGAGAGTCAATTGTATGATGCAAGAAGCAAATGTATCTAACCAATTTTAGCCCGAACTTATATACTAACTGAATAACTAGCAAATCTATAATATAACCCCTTTTGAATTATGATTCAATAGAAAACGTAATTTAAATCACATGAGAGTGTGGGGTTGTCCAACTCATGTACTCAACCCAATGAAAACAATTTAATGCACGTTTGTTGGGTATTCCAGTAACTTTAAAGGCTTTAGATTCTATGATCATGAGACTAAAACTACGTAAAAAGAAAAGATGCTTCTTTCTTGGATGATGAAGAAATGTCAAAAGGGAAACAACCTCAAATTATAAAAATAACATAAGACAAAATGGGGCAACATGGTAAATGTCTAAACCCTAGTGATGTTGATCATACTATTATGCTAGAGTGTATGAGAAGTACTAGGGAAAAGGGATCTAGTTATTTGGATGACTATTATGGGTATAATGTAAAACTTGATGATGAGTCCATAAGCTTTAAAGAGGCTATGAGTTCATCTGAAGCATCCAACAATTTAGCACTACGGTGATTGGGAGTCACAATGAAGGTCACATACTTTGAGAAGCAATTGACCACAATTGATCGCCATCATGGTTTGATTCATGTCGGGCCACTAATGAAATCCATGGACAAATAGACATATGGTCTTTTAGGAATGGGGAGGGGCACGAGCAACCTATCCAGTCACTACTGGTCCGTATTGTCTCACTAGCATACGAGGCAGGTTTCATCCTGCTCCATCTGATGCCAATGTTAGCTTCGAGATAAAAGGCCAATTCTCTCTACTCAGGTAGCCGGCTACTAGAGCGTCATGACACTCCCATAGCAGTTCCTTTCAAAGGGCACCTGTGGTGGGCACAAAAGTTTGTCTGCCTTTGGCATAGAGGACACCACCCTCTAGCCAAAACCTCCTGGTGTGGTCTCTCCTCGACTTGTTGCACTAGTTTGGAAGTCTTTAGGTCTCCTTCGACTTCCTCACAAATCCGTTTGAAGAGACTCCCCTCTACTCGAGCAACAACTGCTACTGCCCTTGGGTGGTCCATTTTCTGGCTTAAGGCATCCTCAAACACATTGGCCTTCCCTAGCTCATACTCCAAGCAAAGTCAAACTTTATCCTTCATCCTCTTCAACTGAAGCGAAGTGAATTTAAGAACATCGACCTACATAGTTGATTATGAAGAAAGAAATTCTATATGACTAATAAGCTAAAAGTGGGATAATTCGTAATAAGCTTTCTAAAGTGCCTGCAAAATGAATTGCATCGTACTCAAGCAACCATGATGAAACCAACCTAAAGAGAGCCAAGCTATAAAACCTTTCATCCGAAAGGACAAGAAATAATCCCAGGAACAAGAAGCAAAAAATACCCAAACAAGGAAGTATCCAAGTCCTATAAGACAAGCCAAAGAAATCAGCAATTTCAAATTATATTTGTAAATAATCTTCTTCGAAGATCATGGAGCATATCCAAAGATCTATTCATTTACTAAATCCTTCAAAAGAGAAGACGATGAGAGGTGCCAAAGCCTAGAAGCAGCAAATAGGGATATAAAAGAAATAAAGGTAAAACGCTTCAAGTTGTTCTGTCCAAATAGAAACCAGGTCAAATTAGAAGGATATTGTAGAGAAAATTGTCGATACAATAGTGGGTCTCTAAGTTTCTAAAAACCAAATTAGTAAATAACCTCAATAATCATCGAGATCAATGTTATAAACCACAAACTCGCTCCAGGATCCAAGCATGGCCAGGTCCAAGTCAACTCGATGAGTCCCAAGTTGATTTGGCAAGTAAAATTAGGGAAAATAGAAAATAGGAAAAAACATAAAAAAACTGCATAATGTAAAATGATGAAATGTTAATTTCAATATGTATATAAGGTTGTTTGGTTATTTTTGTCATGTTTGGCGTACTCTCGATGAAATAATAATGTAATTGTTGATGATTCCCCACAATTTCTAATGCAAATTCATATGACTTCCATCAATTTCCTGGTTCCAACTTCGTATTAAAGAAGATCCAAATCCAACGGAATATACAGC